GTGTGTGTCGGGGGGGGGGGGGCGCGCTAAAGCTATTGTTTTAGCGGCTTTCCCAGTAAGCCGGCCGTGGTAACTGCTAGGAATTTTTACCCACACTCACCCTTCTTGAGAATTTAAAAGCTATAAACATGTCAATTCATGTAATTATTTGTAAATAAACCAGTTTTATTGTTTTAATATGATGTTTCGAACACACCCTTTGAAATAAATATATCCGAAAAAGGTAATATTAATTAAGGAGCTTAATGAGGCTTGAACAACTTAGTTCACCTACACTCTTATGATATTTTACTTCCTCCGATCCACTTAATTAATTATTTATCTTTTTGTGGTCCATAATATTTAATTTTTTTCCGATATCAAGAAGGAATTAATTTTTTTTTTAAAGTTGCCATTGGAGTAAAGAGTATATGAGTGTTTTATTATATTTCTAATAAATAAATTAAGGTTAATATGGTCAATTTCATTGTTAATTAATGCTAAAAAAAATAAATTCCTTAATATATGTATAAACAGCCAAAAATCATTTAAAGTGAACCGGAGGAAATAGTTAATAGAGAGTTTAGACATGCACCCAAGATAAACATTGAATTTTCCCAATCACGGATCCTCTTATTGTTTTAGAAGCTTAATTGCACTTTGTATTCATTTATATAGTTTAAATAGAAGGATTAGTCAAGTTCTTTATTCTACGGAGAGAATAAGTGAAAACTTCAATTTTTCTGTATAATTAGGGGTTGGAGGGATCTAAACATAAAAGAAAAAAGTCAAAATAATCAAAGTCAGACATTTCTCCTTCAAGTAAAGTCAGGTCTAATTTCAGTGCAAAAATTTCCTCGGCTTACCATTTGAACCCCTAACCGATTGAAAATTTAAAAAAAAAAAAAAAACACGACTGATTGAATTTACTAAGTACTACTACTTAGTATATATTTTGAGATTTGACTTATTGACTCTACAAGGTCGATGTCAACTAATTGACATTATTGACTCTACAAGGGCCGGTTTAGAACGCATATTCTAATGATAGTGATCAAAAAGTATTTTTTAATTAAACGTATTATCATTAATCCGCGTTATTTTAGTATAGTTGCCCAATTATATCATACGCGTAACAGATCCAAAAAAAAAAAAAAAAGCTGTTTCTATAAATAATACAAAACCGAGGAACATGCTTGAACGTTAGAAATTAAAATGACCAGTTTGTAATTTAAACGATTCGGCACAAAAAAAAAAAGGTTTAACGGCAAAAGGTAAAAGTAGCACGGGCTAACCAATTTTCGGACTGGTCATTCAAAAATAGCTAGCGTTTGCAAAGTCATTGAAAAATAGCCACTATTTTACTGCAACACAGAAAATTCCAGCATAATATACTGGAGATCGATGCACCTGTGTATGAACTTCCAGCATATTATGCTGGAACTCCGACATGCGGAAAGTTCCAGTATAATATACTGGAGATTGGAGCACCGGTGCTCCAAGCTCCAATATATTATGCTGGATCGGTATATTATACTAGAACTTCAGTATAATATACAGGAGTTCCGGTATACTTATGCTAGAATTCCAGTATAATATACTGGAGTTCCAGTGTGTTATACTGGAATTTCCAATATATTATACTGGAGTATTTTTTCAGATTTTGAACACTCTTTTCGTTCAGATTTATCTTTATATGAAAAGTGGCTAAATTTCGATTACTTTTGAAACTGTGGCTATTTTTGAATGACCACTTGTAAATCTAGCTATTTTTGAATTTCTCCCGGCTAGAAATTTAATTTTGAGATATTAACGTCCGTTGGATGAATTTTGAGATATGATCATTATTTTGAACTACAACAATAAAAGAATCTCTCTCCAAGCTAATCTATGACTAATAATATATTGTGTCCTTATTATAGGTGTTAAACGGGCCGGGTTAACCCGTTTTCGGTCCGGCCCAGACCGGTTGAAATCCGGACCGGCCCGGACTAGTACATAGGGGCTGGGTGGGCTGGGTTAAGGGGGTTGGTCCGTTCACATTAGTTCAACTGGTTAACCGGACCGGTCAAACCCGGTCAACTTAAATCACTGTAGAACCGTTTAACCGGCCCGGACCGGCCCAGACTGGTCTAACCGCTAGTCTTCCAATTTTTTTTTTAAATGTTTCTGAGCGTTGGCAACGGTCAGCTGGGCTAAGGGGGCGTTGCCCAGCGGCTGTTTTGCACAAATAGCCCTTTTTTAGGCTATTTTTTTTAAAATAATACTTTTTGTAATTACTAATTTTGAAAAACTATAAATACACCTCCCCCCCCCCCCCCCATATTCTTCATTTCCTCATTCATCTCTCATTTCTCAAACTCATATTCTCAATTGTCATTCTCTCATTCTTCACCTAAAGTGCAATCAAGTATTTGGCTCTCATTTTTTTGGAATTTAATTTATCGTATTATTTATTATTTGAAGTTTGAACAATTGACGTTTCTTCGTGGTAACATTGGAGTTGCGAAATCATCAAGTGTTCAATTTATTGCCGAATTCGGTGCAACTCTTTCTCTTATTTACTATTTTATTTGCATATTTAATTTTTGCTAGTATTTAAATTTTTACAATATGTTTAATATTGCAAAAAGGGTTTGTAATAAGGTTACTAATCAGGGAAATAGAAAAAGAGGTACTACATCAACATATGACAATAATTTAAATGACTCTACACATATTTTCAAAACATTACCTGATAATAATATAGATTATGAACAATTACATGAAGATTTCGGTATAGAAGATAATGAATTAGAAATTGAAGATGAGACACCACTTACACCTAGTAGTGTTGGAGTTGGTAGCATGGGTGGTGGTCGTGGCGGAAGTAGTAGACCACCTGTGGCCCCGACTACTAATCGGAGAAAAAGAAGTAAGGTTTGAATTTTTTTCACGAAATAGTAGGTACTGATAGAGTTAAATGCAGAATTTGTAATGATGATTTTAAACATATAACTGAAGGACAATTAGGGGGGACTGGGACACTTAGTAGACATATGAAAATTGAGCATCCTATAGAATGGGGCTCTGATGGAGATGGAAATCAAGCAACTCTAAACCCTGTGATTTGAGGACTTATGAAATACTATGATAAAATGAAGGATCGTGAGGATTTAGCAAAAATGATTGCTTTGGGTAGTCTACCTTTTTCTTTTGCTTCTTCATCATATATTATTATGTATATTCAATGGATTTATAATCCTTTATTTAAAGGTATCCCTAGAAGTACTTGTAGATTTGATATCTTTAGACTTCATGGACAATATCAAACATACATACGTTATTTGTTTAGCCACCTTCCTTGTAGAGTTTCTCTAACTTCTGATATTGGCCATGCTGTTAATGAAAATGATTATTTGACAACTACATGTCATTGGATAGATGATAATTATTGTATGCGAAAACGTATTATCGCTTTTAAATATGATGAAGATCGGAGTCATACTGTTGTGTTTATAAGTACTACTATTTGCGAAGTTGTTGAATTTGATAATCTTAAGAAAAAAGTATTGTGTATGTCTTTTTATAATGCTTCTAACAATAATGCTGCAATATC